GTTTTATTTCCACCATCACTACCGAAGGGGCTCCCTAGCAATACGCAATGCAAGAGCATCTTGTTTAACAATCCAAGGCTCACCAGCCATCCGGGAAGGCCGGGCAAGCCAACCTTGGTACATCCTGCTAAGACCCTGCCCCTCAGCTCTGCGAGCTCTACCCAGGAGCCCAGGACACACACAGACTCACCGGGGTAACCTGCAGCTGCGGGCGGGCAGTGGGAATCACATTCGAGAGACTTCAAGAACAAAATGGACCCCCGAGGCTCAGGGAAGGAATGACATCAAGGAGAAGGGCAGGAAAATTCTGGATTGCCAGTTGGGCTGAAAAGGACTTCAGCAGATTTGCTGTGCTACAGACTCTCTGCCCTACCTAAAACTGTCCCCTTATCAGGCACCCCTGCTCCACCCGTCCCTTGCACTCCCATACGCTGTGAACACCCCCTTAGCAAAATGCACTGGACAAAAGTAAATTCACGCTTCCGGCAGCCAGGGTTTGCCAGCAACAGTAGAGAAGGGTGTTTACAGAAAACAAACCGAGTCCAACGTTTGGCATTTACAGACAACAATGCGTCCCATGCAGCTCCAGTGCAGAACGATGGATCGACAACACATCGGCTCGCCCTGGAGCCGTCCTGCCTACCTGCATGCCGTGGGAGACCACGCAGATTCTCTTCAGGTCCCGGGCTCCCCATTCATCTGGCCACTTCTGGTGCATCTCTTGCACTTTCTCGATCACCTGCATGATCTCGGCGACGTTGTACCAGGACGTCATGGCCATATCCCGCTCGGTGGAGCCCGGCACGTGGCAAAACATGAGTGGGTGGAGCTCAGGGTGGGGCGGGACGTTGCCGCTGGCATGGATGGTGTTGCCTTTGCTGACGTAGAAATGCTTGGAGACAAACTCGATGATGCCTGCAGTGGAGCGGTAGTTCTCGTTGAAGATGATCCTGCTTTTCAGAGCTACTTCGTGTTTCTCCTTCTGGTAGTACTGGAAGAGACGGTTCAGCAGGGTGTGGTCGGCCGACTGCTCACCTCCCAGGCAGAACAACTTAGGGGTCACTTGCATGTGGTCCCCAGCTAGGACGACTCGAGTCTCAAAAGTAGCATACGAGAGCGGGATCAGAGCTTCGCATTCCAGCATCTGAGCTGCCTCATCTATCAAGATGTGGGTGAAATATCCAGGGGGCACCCTCAGGTTCTTGGACAGCATGGATGTGGTGATGATAATGCGGTGCCTGTCGATCTCTGCTTGAGTGGGTTGCCTGAAGGTCCTCTGGTCTGGAGAAAGGCAGCAGTACAGCTGAGTGACGGGGTCGGTCATGCTGATGGAACGGTCTGTGTATTTGATCCTCAGCGGGACTGCCCTGGGGTGCCCGTTTGTGACATACTCGTGGAAGTACTCACGGATGTAGATGTCAGCCGCACTGGAAGTGAGAGAAAACAGGAGTGTGATGCTGGTAAACCAAGTGCCAGCTCTGGCCAAGGCCATAGGTGTGAGCTAAGAGCTGATAAACTCATAGCTGGAAAGCAAACAACTCCCCCGTATGTTAGTGTTATTCAAAATAGGTAATGGTCCTCTAAGAACGTATTTAGTGTTCAGACTATGAAATGCTTGTAAGTTCCTCCATGCATTAATCTCATTGGTAATGTCTGTATTCCATGCTATAAGGAAATATTACTTTGAAAAGGTTTGCTCTAAGCTTGTGAACCCAGGCATGGGAATTGTCCCCCCGCCCATCCAGGAGGGCTCTCAAAAATTAAGTGGGCCATCATAAGACTTGTTAAATTCCCCATCCACCCACGGAGAAGTAGGTGCAGAAGGCCTCATCCCAGACATCTGAATGCTGGAAGAGGGAAATAAAAATAGCTGACATGATGATTTTTCATCTCTTTGCTGTTTGAACTCTCACAGGGCCAGAGACTAAACTGAAGCAAGAGATCTCTCAGAGTTATCCCAGGGTCTGCCCTAAAAGACATTGTGAATGGACAGATCACTACAAATCGGTCACTCTTAGGGGCTGGATTCTAACTCATTTGTGTGTAGATGTTTGCTTGCTTTCACCTGTAAATAACTCATTTGCTTTTCCTAGTTAATAACCCTTTAGATAATTACAGGATTGGATACAGGTGTTGTCTTTGGTGTAAGATCTAGGGCACCAATTGACCTGGGGTAAGTGACTGGTCTCTTGGGACTGGGAGTAACCTGGATATTTGTGATTTTTGGTGTAAATGACCATTTATCACTAAGTTCAGCTTGCCTGGGTGGAAAGATCGAGGGGAGACAGTCTGGGACTCCATGGCAAGACTGTTATAGTGATCCAGGAGCTCACACTTGTTACTGGCTCGGTGAAGTCTAATTAAAGAACACTCCACCAGTTTGGGGTGTCTGCCTTGAGGTAGGCACTCACAGTCCAGGCAGCATGGCAAGGGAATGTGAGTGGGAGTCTCAGACAAGCCCTTCATCCCAGACGCACTGGGGTAATCTGTCCCATTGTTTATTCATTTGGGAACGGACCCTTTGGACAAGGAACATACTCAGTCACAGTTTCCAGATTTACAACCTGCAGGCGATGCTCAGGTACGTGCAGAAACTAGCGTATGGGATACACACTCAGTTATCCGCATTGCGCACACAATGAGCCCATGCGCACGTTTTCAGGAGTGCGATTTAAGGTCTAATCAGTGGCTGCGCAGTGCCTAGAGCCTCACTTACCAAGGGCCTTCTGAATACATACACTTGGGCCCTCAGTCACAACGCCACATGCCCAGGGATCACGTGGGCACAAGGATGTGTCGGGTCCCAGGTATGAAAGTATGGCCCCAGGCATTCTTCGTCCCATAACCAACCTTCCTAGAATCCTGTGCTGGTGGAGTATGTGCAAACATCTCAGAGAGTAGAACAAGTCCCAGTGCAGCCACAGGGCAGGACACAGGCTAAGATTGAAAGTCATCTCTTTTTATTATACCTTTCAAAAAAATATTAAGGAAATAATGGTCCCCATAGGAAAGGAAACGGACCCTCCACTGTGCATTCCTTCACGCATCGTCGCTTTCATTTTAAAATCTCGGAATAACAAAGGTCAGTTCAGAGCCTACCACGTTTGCGTGCATCTCGACTTTCCCTCCCCCTAACTCTCCTCTTTATGGGACCTGCAGAATCAATATTGACATATACACAGCAGCACAACAGCTTTTGGAAAGAGTCAACATCAGAGGGCAAATACAAGAATGAAGTCACCTGGGCAAGGCCAAGAGGGGAAATTAAGGTGCAGAAGCGAAGGGGTTTCCATTTCACCTGGTGTGTAACTGTTACCCACGGTGTTGTGGGGGAGGTGGGGGAAGAGGACCCAGCAGGGAATGACTGTAGCACACCATAAAACACATCTCTCTCTAGCTTAGAATCAAGGTCCCCATCAGGAATGTATCCTGGTCTCCTTCCACCCACATCTTCCTGCCCCCCATCTAAGCTCAGATTTCTACCAAGAACAAGGGAATGCTTTTCTTTAAGAAATAATGTTGGCGTATTTCAAAAGCGGACCAAACGTTTGGACTGTTTGCAGAACGCTTGGCATCGAAACACAATTTAGTTTCCTTAGGAAAACCCTCACATCCCCATCACGTGTGAATCTGGCACAGCTGAGCACCCAGCCTTCAGTCTACGGCCTCCCAGCGTCTTCCCTTGGAGAAAAGCCACGGCAAAGCTAGCAAGTTACCTGTTGGTGTGAGTACAGATCAGCACTCGCGTGTTGGGCTGCTTGATGATTTCCCTGGTGGCCATGGCCAAGGTGAAGGTCTTCCCTGTGCCGAAAGGCCCATAGATCAGAAGAGGAGGGACCTGCCTGGTGCTGGTGGCCTGGCCGGTGATGAAGGAGATGGCCTGCATCTGCTTCTTGTTCCCGCTCAGCGGTAGCAGTGGGGGAGTGAGGGATGGAACAGGCTGCAACGTCGGGCAGGATCAGCCGCTCGTCCAGCAGCTGGTCCACCGCGTAGTGCCACAGCCGGAACTGCAGCCGGTCGATCTGGAACTGGATCTCCACCTTGCAGGAGGTGCCCTGCTGGAAGCCAAGCTCAGAGCAGCATCTCCGGGGGATGAGGAGCCAGATGCTCTTCTCGGTGATGGCCTTGCTTTCCACCTTGACCTCGTACACCCGGTTGTCCGTGGGCGGGTCAGGTGCCAGGAAAGCGGTGCTCACAGACCGGCTCAGCAGGTACCCCTCGTTGGTGTCCGGCGTTAGGGCACAAGGGGTCGGCACTTCAGCAAAGAGCTCACCAGAGAGGGCGAACTTCATCCCCATGGACAGGGTCTGCAGCATCGGGGTCAGGGAGATGGTGACCTGGAGGTTAAGCCTGAGACGAAGAAGGCACCACAGCTAACAGTGCTGACTGCACACGTCCATTCATCAGCAATATCCCCCCCTACGCGGAAGGGACTGCCTGCACCACGAGGATCCCCTCCCGATTCCCCACCTCTTCACCCAACCCTCTCCCCCCAAAGGACCAGGGCATCGGCCTCTGTCCCCTGGCGACAAGACTCTCTCTGTGCTCCCCTAGATCAACCAGAGATCCCGCTGAGCAGTGTTTTTAAATTAAATGACACGGTTTAAAAGGACAGCATGCAGACTTGCGGCGCCTGCGGGAGCAGCTGCTTTGGAGACTTGGTCACGTCACTTACTGAAAAGTTCCACTTAAAGAACGGCAGTTTGGCAAACAGGTTGTCAATCCCCAAGAAACTCAACAGCACTAAACTCCTATGGGACATCTCCAAAAACAGGCTTAGAGAGCTGCCTGCGTATGTAATTCCTGCAGGTTGCTGGTAAGGAGAGCGACACCCTAGGCGCCCAGCTACCCTACATCGAGCTGGTGCAACAAGGAGCATAGACGTGCCAGGTGCATCTACTTCCTTCAGGGTGGGCTCCTCGTGGTGGGTCTGGCGGGGTGCACAGCACAGCTCCCTTTGTTTCTCCCCAAGTAGCAGCACTGAAAACCTCCACCCACGGCTGGCTAGTGCTCAGCACAAACCAGAGCCCCGGCGGTAGCCAAGACGTGGAATGCACAGCAGAGCGTTAGCCAGCCATACCAGCTGGTGCTCTCTGGAGACTCAGGGCAGGAGATTTTTGCCTTGCTGTTTGAACTGGGACGGGGAGAGTGACCAACCATTGCACTCCAGATGAAGACAGGCCCTGGAAGAGGCCATTCCCCTCCCACAGCTCGCTTTGCCTTCTCCTCGTCACAGACATTTCTCCTCCTCTAACCCCTCTACTTACCCCAGTGACCCCATCTCCTGACCTCCCCTGGGCCCACTCTCATCCCCTCTCCTCTGGCTCCTTCCCCTCACAATACAAACATGCTCTAGTCTCTCCCCTCTTAAAAAGCCCTCCCTCGACCCCACTTCTCTCTCCAACTCCTGCCCCATCTCCCTTTCGTCTCGAGCTCACTGGACACACTGTCTACAACTGCTGGCTGGCGTTCCTCTCCTCAGGTTCCAGCCTAGACTCTCTGCAAGCTGCCTTCCGCCCCATGCACTCCCTGCAAACTGCTCTTGACGAAGTCTCTACTGACCTCTTCCTCGCCAAATCTCAGAGCCAGCTCTCCATCCTCATCCTCCTTATCCTGTCAGCCTCCTTCAACACAGTCAACCACGCTCTTCTTAAAATCCTGTCCTCCCTTGGCTTCCAGGACTTTTCCTCTCCTGGTTCTCCTCCTCTCTCTCCAATCATTCGTCCACGGTTTCCTTCAGAGGACTCTACACCCTATCTCTGGGTAATCTCATCTGCAAACCCAAATTCCACTGCCATCTCTACCAACCCACAGGTCTACCTCTGTCCTCTGGACCGATCTGATTCTGTCCATACTAAAGTCGCCACCGACTTCTCCTTCTGGATGTCCAGTCATCAGCTCACGCTCAACAGGCTAAAGCAGAACTCTTCATCTTCCCCCTGACCTGCTTGCTACTTCCTTCTCCGATCTGTGTGGGCACCACCACCACCTGGGTACCAGCTTTCATTCAGACCTCTCTCTAGGTCCACATCCAGGGTATGTCTAAAGCTTACACACTCTTGCTGCAGAAAATCTCTAAGGTACAGCCCTTGCTATCCATCCACATGGCTAAAACTCTCATCCTCTCACACGGCAAGGACCTTCTCTCTGGCCTTGACAAACGCAGCCTGGGCCCCCTCATATCCATTCAGAAAGCTGCGGCAAAGATCATTCCTCTTGCCTTGCCGATGTCCCCTCTCTCTTTACGTCCCTCCACTGACTCCCCGCTTCTGTATCACAGCGAACATAAGCTGCTTGCCTTCGCTTTCTAGGCCTTTCACAGCCTATCCCCGCCCCATCCGCTCACTCACTATCCGGATGTTGCTCCCACCTGCGATCAGCCCATGACCCTAGCCTCCAAACACGCACTTGTTAAATTTTCACGCAAGCGCCTTTGTGCTTTCTCCAGTGCTCCCCATAAACGACGGCAAAGCCACCTCCTTATCCACCTTCAAATCCCCCCTTCAAACTCTCCTTTCTGTGCACCTGCCAAAAACCTGTCAGTGGTTACGCTGCTGGTGCGCGGAAACCACTGCCTGTCACGTTGACCAATAGCGTCTCACTGTTTGCTAATGCTCCCCACCATCTGTGGTCTCCTGTCTTGTGCTTCAATTGCAAGCTCTGTGGGGCCGAAACCGTCTTTGTTCTGTGTTTGTACAGCCCCTAGCACAATGGGTCCCAGTCCGTTCCTGGGCTCCGAGATGCTACAGTAATACAAAGAACAAATACATAATAGTTGTGGAGAGTGGAGGCTCCCTACCTCTGCCCCTTACCCTGTTTACACCCCACAGAGCAGAATCTAGCCCTATATTATCATTCTCTTTCCTGTTCCACATGTCACCTTCCATGACAGCACCCCACTTCTCTGTGACAGTCTGACCTGCAGCCGTCCCTTGGGACCATTCCTGCACAATTGGCACGGAGGGGACTATGGGGACTAGACTTGAAATAGCACCAGGGACCAAGGGACAGAATTGGCACTGGGACCACTGCAGATAGAAGGAAGACAGGCCCCTGAAGAGGATGAGTCCTTCACCCTTACGGATCTGCCACTACTGCCGGGACACTTACTTGTCAATCAGGGTCTGCTCCGCTTCCTCCTCTCGGAACAGGAAGTCGTGCATCCTCTCCCTGTAGTTGAGGTGGGTGATGGGCGCGTTTGCAGCGCTGCTGGGCCGGAACTCCAGGGAGAGCGCTGGCGCTTTGTACTTGGCTAGCAGGTCCACCTCGTCACTGGTCATCTCCACGCTGGGAACGATCACCCGGTTGCCGCTGTGCCAGCGCTGAAAGTTCACAAAGCGGCTGCCCTCCGTGCCAGCCGGGACGTGCCGGGGGAGCTCCCGCTTGCCGATCTTGGCCTGGATTTTCCGCACCAGGACGGGGCGGCTGCCGAAGTCAAAGACAACCCACTGCTCATAAACTCCGAACGTGCAGCACTCCATGCAGACCTCCACCAGGCACGAGAGCTGTGGTGACGGCAGAGCCTTTAACCGTTCCCCCCGGATGTAGGTGAGGCCCCGCGGGAACCCGTCGCCTGCTAGGAAGAAGGTGGCTCCGGGATCTCTCTTCAGTAACGCCACATGCCTCAGCGGCATCTGCCAGTTAGAAGGGAACAGAATATCCGGTGAAGAGAATCTCCCTGCATGAGACCCGCCGTCTGGCCCCCCCCCTCTGTGAAAGCCCAATAAAACTAAACAGGGAATGAGGTTTTCCCCCCCAATCACCCCTATGGAATTCCATAGCGGGGGAGAATTCCTACTGGAATCTACAAAATGGCCCCATTCCCTCTTCAGTTCTAGAGGGGTTTAGAGTGATTCCTAAGGACCTCTGTGGGGTTTCATCCCTATTAACCTCTTAAGGAATTGTCCATAAAGGGTCAGTCCTGGGACCTAGCAAAGAGCAAGCAAAAGGAGCAGAGATGGAACGAGCAAGACAAGATCCCTCCCCGGCCACATTCCCTCCCCACAAAGCCTGTGCAGGCGGAAGAACGTTTTATTTTGCCCTGAGCACCACAGCAGGCAGTAACGGGGCTCGATCAGCACAGCCAGACCCACCTGCCCGATAAATGCTCGGCCCGTCCCCAGCCCTGCTTTCAGAGCCCCGGCCCAACACAACCCAGGTCACAACTGTAACACCTCTGGACAGGAGCTCTCTCCCGCTCTCTGCTCAGCAGGCCCCAGGGCTCCAGGAACAGAGCCTCATCTGCATGCCCCAACCTCCTCCCACTCCTTAACTGTGCAGAGACTCTCTCCAGCAGCCCCTGGGGGCGGAAGAGCAGGCAATTCTCTACCGGCGGGAAGAGCGAACTATGTGGGGGGACAGAGCTGGTTTCAAACCTCTGGACTTTCTTTACAGAGAATCCGACTTACCTGGGAGTGAACTTTGAACTTCCACCAGTATCGCATCTTCCTGTCCTCTGAATGCACCCGCATGGGCTGCTCGCAGGTAACCATGACGCCATCAACCTGCTCAGAAAGCTGATGGAAAGGAGACAAGAAGAGCCACGTGTTTCACCTTGCGATCGCACACTCACAGCGCCTGCCAGTAAGCCCCAGCACAGTCCGCTGTAGCAGGGCGGCCGAAAGGGCAGGGTGAGAGATTCGAGCCCCCGTGCTTCTCGCCAGCGTAGCCAGCGAGCACTTGGAAAGGTGGAAGGACACACGGCAGAGCAGGACAGCTTGAGGCACAGGGTGTGTTCTTTAACAGGCCTACTCCTGCCTCAGAGGAGCCCGGGAAAAGGGCAGCGTGGGGCGCGCTGGGGGCAGCACACACATTCAAGATTAAGTCTCAAATACATTTTTAAGATCTAATTTACATTTCACCATTTATCCCCTTCATTTGCTTTCTGCCTCTCTCATGGTCTACAATGAGAATGGTCTGAACTCGATATTCACTTTCATTTCTAGTCCACTTCGCTTCCAGGCTCACATGCATTAGCCCCCGGGGTGCACACCCGGCAAGGGAAGCATTATGTAAGATCAGGCCGCGGGGGTGATCGGCCCATACTGCTGATGCAGGTGGAGAGATATTGGGATGCACTTTTACAAGAGCCTCTGAAAACACCCCCTTCAAACGTTCAAGTGCACACAGGGCAGCCAGGAACTCCTGCATGCAGCCAGCTAGTGCAAATGCAGGGATTTTGCATGTGTTAATGCTGCCGCCAGGTTTTCGCAAGGCCCTTTATCAGGATTCAGCTTTAAGCAAACTCAAAACCCTTCCAATCAGCCGGATCATTCAGGTGCCCCACAGCCAGCGTCCAGCCAGCAGACGGTGACGTACAATGAACACCTCGTTGCGGCACTCCTTGTACTCAGCAATGAGACGGTCCTGGTAGGAGAGGAGCCCGTCTCTCTTGGCAGATTTCCTGTTCCTCTCGACAGCCTTCGCTCTCTGGATCCACTCCTGCAGCTCCTCTACGGAATGGGCCTTGGTGCACCGTTCACCATATTCGCAGATGTCCCCTCTGTGGGGGAACAAATTCCACATGCAAAACAAAGCACACAGGATACTCTGAACAGCCTGAGACTGCATGGGGAATGAGGCGCCCCCCGCCTCCTGCACAAGGATTAACTGGGGATTCCTAGCAGGCCACAGTGCTGGCAGAACTGGGACCAGCAGTGCCCCACTGGTAGTAACCAGTCAAGCATTTTGTCTTCTGTTGTCATCTCAACTTGCTCTGGCCAGAGTTAGGTGACGTGGCAGTAACACCACCTGCACCCTGCGTGCACGATCACTTCCCCCATTGCCAGCCCGGCTGGTGCTGCACCAGTGCGGAGTTATAGGTCCCGACTACCCAGAGATGCCCCAGGCAGGTTCTTCACCCTCTTCTCTTGAGGTCAACAAGAGCCCAAGCCAAGGAGGCACTTGAAAATTAACTTCCCTCAAACTTACCCCCTTGTATCCTCCCTGTCCTAATAAGGAACCACCCCAAGATGGATCCCGCTTCATTTTGCCCTGCTAGGAGACCATACACCCAAAGTCCCTGCTTGGTTCAGGGAGAGATTTTTAACCCTTTCTCCCCCAAATACGGGGCAGGTTCTGTACCCACGAGAACTGTCACACCCCAAAGGGACACCAAACATTAGGCCAGCTGGGTTGTTTCTCTAGACAGATGATCCAGAATCAAGTCATCAGCCCGCTGTGCCCCCTCTGCAGGGACCCATGCAGTTTGCTCATTGCCTGCTAGGCACGGCCGGCTGCGCAAGGGCGGCCCCTTACCCTGTGCACAGCGGGAAGGGGATCAGGCCCTATGGCGGCG